GTGACAGCTAGTGAAAATAGCCCTCGTGTAGCTTTGCGCGAAATTCAAAACAAACAAACAAACAATTAAAATGACGTTTCCGTTCGAATAAAAGTGTTCGACATTACGTGATGGTCATATTTGAACGCGTTTAATGCAAACGTCTAGCTTTCAAAATGTATAGACAGTCACGGAATGTAAATATTACAGAATCATCGTCTTAAATGCATTCGTCAGTGTTGATATTGTGACACATCCAAGTTAAAAAGCGTTTACAAATACTAATATCTTTACATTATAAATATGTTATTTCAAGGGTATTTTAGGCGTCTTTAATGGAGTACTCCTGTCTGTTTCTAGAGCCCCCCCCCCCACTAGCACAGCGGTATGTTTGCGGACTTACAACGCTAGAATCCGGGTTTCGATACCCGTGGTTGGCAGAGCACAGATAGTCCATTGTGTAGCTTTCTGCTGAACTTAAAAAACAAACAACGTTTCGGCTTCAGAGGAAGGACTCAGTATAGAAACCGAATCGTCGCCTCACTCCAGAAACAGACAGGAGCAGTCCATTAACGTCGAAACTCTACATTTTTATAACGTTTTAAAACGTAGTTAGACAATTCTAAGTATTGCGTTGATCTGAACGTATCTTTTGTTACGATGATTTCGACCAAGTTTCTAACACGACATTAAGATTTCTCACTTGTTAAAAAATGCAAGTTCTTTGTAATGAAAAAAACAAATATTGTTGTTCGACAAGCAGAAATCAGTAGGAGGGTTAGAAGTTGAACAGATAACTTACCGAAATAGGTGGGACGATAATTCTGTAGGACGAGAACACTCAACGTCGTCTATATTTAAGAAATAAATTTCTTAACTTATTCTTAACGTACAATTTCTAACGTATTCTCCACGTGATTTTAATTGGTGTAATAATATATTGTCCTTTTAACAGGAGGGACAAATGGACATGTCAAGAAGGTTTCATGCAGATACGTGAGCAAGAGAAGACTGGTTTCGGATCGTCGTATTCCTTTTTGTCCTTTACTGGTGACAGCACACCCAGTTACGGTTATTTCTGTGGCAAAATGTCCGGTCAAAGGTTAACCTTTTACAGTATCACGAGAACTCTAGTAGTAACAGTGGTGTTCCCTCAGGTCTCTTCTCCATACCTAGCTGCTCCGGGTGTTTTTCTTACGTACCGGTTCCATCGGAAGTCTCTAAGCCTACTTAGTGATGCCGTAGATTTGGGCAAAAGGTTGTCTAGCTGGTCTTGTGACAGGTCATTCAGCGATTGTTATAACCGGAAGTGTCTAATACGTTCACCCAATTACCCTGGATTTTATTTAAGGAACATTACCTGCAACTATTGGATTGAACAGTCCTACGCTCCACGTGGTCATTACGCCCAGATTGAAATTTCTCAAGAAAACGAGTTTAAAGTTGATGTTGGTGGCGGTTTTTCCAGTACAAGAAATATAGTGCATCGCCAACTGACCACCACCTGTCCAGGAGACGTTGTTCGTGTTTATGACGGAAGAACGACATCTTCTCCCCTACTGGTAGAATTCTGCGGGTCAGGAGTTGTCCCAAACATCGTCACGAGCGGTCCCACGGCTCTGGTACAGCTCATAAGCCATCCATACCAACCACTTCGGAGATCTCTCCTTGAACTCAAGAGTTCGGCGAGATTTCGACCCGATTCCGAATTTAGGGCTAAGAGAAAAAAGTGCGAATTCTACATATATGGAAACCAGAATAAAAGCGGTTCCATATACAGCCCCTCTCACACTCTTGCTGCTAATACCACGTGCACTTTTAATTTCATCGGAAAAGCACCCTTTGCTAAAATTTGGTTGTATTTCGTATCTTTTTATATCGAAGACTCCCAGGCATGGTCTAGGGAAGAGAAGTGCGATGTGGCCAAACTTCAGATTTTCGACCCTTTTGTAAACGACCAGAGAAGGAACGTTTTACTCAGAGGATTTGGCTTTGGAGGCTTAGTAAGTAACTATTGTGAAAAGTCTTACCCTCGAATGTGTGCTCACGCACGCGACACCCCAAATCTAACCCCTCTCCGTCCCTGTCGTGTACCCGAAGAAAGCTATCTGTCAGCCGGGCCTGAGATGAGTGTGATGTTTACGGTCTACGAAAACTCCAAACTTAAACTAGTTCCAAGCACGTTCCTCGCTAGATACGAGTTTATCGACACCATGCTGGACGGCTATCCCGTTAACGGGGCACGATGTGACCGGCGGTTTGTCAGCAGGATAAACGCCGCTGGGAAACTACGGTCGCCCAAAAATCTGTTCTTTTTTGGTAGGGGTGGGAATTTCAACTTACGCTGTTTGTTTTACTTAGAAGGACAACCTGGGGAAAAAGTTCGAATCACTATAGAAAACATATCGTTAGGAAGGCAAAAGGAACATTGTGAGACTCACTTCGATCCCGTCAGTAGACGCTACACGTGTCATTTGGGTGGGTCACCTTCCAGATTCGGACTTATTAACACTACAGAGGAAATTGGCGGCCTTCACATCCCAGGGGACTGTGTGTGCGGGTCAAGTTATGTGATACCCAGCACCCTGATACTAGAATCGGTGAGCAACAAGATGGTACTTTCCTTCGTCGTGGTTGAAATGACCACTAAAGACGATTTCAGTGATTTTTATTTCTCAGGAACCTACGAGTTCATCTCTCGTAATTACTGTGCCAATCAAGAAACACTCAGTGGACCTGCTGGGGACATCTCTTTGAAGGTCCCCCCTGTCGTTGTAGAAAATGTGGCGTCATTTAGATGTAGATGGGTTATTCAAGCCCAACCACACTGGTTCTTATATCTCTCGGCCGAAGGAAGCACTGGAGGTCAAAGCTGTCCTGGAAACAGACTTTTAGTTTACAGTAACTTTGAAAACCGGCCTGAGCGGGTTATATGTTTTGAAACGTCTATCAAATTTAGAGACAAGATTCAAGTGTTTACTCCACTCTGGAAATCAGAGCATTATCTATTAAATCAGTCTCAGAAAGGTCTTTCTGACAGACTTATCATTGAAGCGCTCGCTGTGACACCTGGGGAGATTTCTTTCAGTTGGCTAGAAGTTATGAAACCTTACGTTAAGTCTAGCACAGGCAAGTCAGTGAGAAACGCTGAGTGTAATTACGAGTGTCCCGAGCTTCAGGCGTGTATCAGTAGAGATCTTTGGTGCGACGGGAAAGTTCATTGCCCTTCTGGCTGTGATGAAGTACCTGGTCATTGCCACGTGTTTCCTACTTTATATGTCGCTGTTGGGGTCAGTGTAAGTGTGATATTGTTGTTTACTGTGTGTTTACTTGTTGCTACGAGAATCTGTCATTCTAATCGAAGGAAGGGTTCCCAACCTGTGCCAACTGAAGAGGTTCAGATGGAGACAACAGTTGGTTGAGAGAAAAAAAAGCAATCTAATAAGGTAACTTAGTAAGGGCATTAACAGAATATGAAAGAAAATTTATTTGAGAAAAAATGTAGCAAAAACTATAACCGATAATAAGTTCCACGTGTTTCTTATTACACGGATATATTTGAAAATTTTCATATTCCAGTAATTCCATTAAAGTCTTGTTGATCAAGTGTCCTGTGGTTAAAGACACTTGCTTGTTAGTGAGTGCTGAGCATAATTAATAAATCTTTTAACAGGGGTTTAACTGAGTACTTGAATGGTGAACAATCACGAGGAACTCTTTTTTTAACATTATTCGTTCATATAAAGATTTATTTTAACCGATGGTTATTTGGGGAGTTTCTTTCCATGTTTATCTAGTGATGTTTATGTTTAGCTAATGAGCACTTAAGCCCCAACAAAAGAGTCAACTTTATAACTGTTTTGTATGTAAGTAACATTCTGTTCTGGGGAAAGTTTGTTCGGCGAACCCGTTAAAAAAAAAGTTGAATCTGAATATTTGTCATGCTCTAACTTATTAAATTTGTTTTTGTTTTATTCGCTCAGTTGTAAGTAAAATACCGGGGTGATACGCAGGTTTCAGAATGATATTTTTTTATAATCAAGGTTTCTTGTGAGTTATGTGTAACATAGAGAATTCTAAAAGTAAAAATCTTTAAAATGCTCTAAGTCATAGGAAACATAGCGGATAATTTCTATAAAGTTCATTCGCTACATGTATTTTTTTCAGTGTGAAAATTCTTCGGAACTTCAAGTGGGAAAAAAGGAGTTGGATTTCTGAAATTTATCTTCTGACAAATCACTAGAATATAAGCGATTTTTTTGTTTTATATTTCCGTGACGCAACTTAGTGGTTTTCCCATACACGTGAATTTGGAGTTGAAATTGGGCTCATTGGTGAGCCGTTGGGTTTAAAGGTCATTCTGGAGTCACGTGTCGGCTCTTCTTTATGTAGGATAATAATGACAATTATAAGATTTTCTCGTGAAATAATTAAAATCTATATTTCATAGCAGTGCTACACCTATTTATTTTACGGGTGTGTCCCAATTTACTTTGACAGGTTCTTTAATTTGGCTTTTGGATAATGAATAACAGGTTCATCTGAGCAGGCGTGGGAATTACATATGGTTTAGGTTTCAGTACAACAAGTTCACATGTTACTATTGTAAAACTAATGCTTTTATTATTTGGTTGTATGATTGTAACGTAAATGTACCTCTTAGTTCTGTTTAACTGCTTTCTTTGTTGACTTAGACACATTATTTCTGTTGAAATGTTTTCTTTGTTGACTTTGACACATTATTTCTGTTGAAGTGTTTTCTTTGTTGACTTATTTAGACTCATTATTTCTGTTGAAGTGTTTTCTATGTTGACTTATTTAGATACATTATTTCTGTTAAAATGTTTTGTATGTTGACTTATTTAGACTCATTATTTCTGTTGATATGGTTTCTTTGTTGACTTCGACACATTATTTCTGTTAAAATGTTTTGTATGTTGACTTATTTAGACTCATTATTTCTGTTAAAGTGTTTTCTTTGTTGACTTGGACACATTATTTCTGTTAATATGGTTTCTTTGTTGCCATAGACACATTATTTCTGTTGAAGTGTTTTCTTTGTTGACTTCGACACATTATTTCTGTTGAAGTGTTTTCTTTGTTGACTTATTTAGACTCATTATTTCTGTTGAAGTGTTTTCTATGTTGACTTATTTAGATACATTATTTCTGTTAAAATGTTTTGTATGTTGACTTATTTAGACTCATTATTTCTGTTAAAGTGTTTTCTTTGTTGACTTGGACACATTATTTCTGTTAATATGGTTTCTTTGTTGCCATAAGCACATTATTTCTGTTGAAGTGTTTTCTTTGTTGACTTCGACACATTATTTCTGTTAAAATCTGTTGTATGTTGACTTATTTAGACTCATTATTTCTGTTGAAGTGTTTTCTTTGTTGACTTTGACACATTATTTCTGTTAAATTGTTTTGTATGTTGACTTATTTAGACTCGTTATTTCTGTTGAAGTATTTCTTTGTTGACTTTGACACATTATTTCTGTTAATATGGTTTCTTTGTTGCCATAGGCACATTATTTCTGTTAAAATGTTTTGTATGTTGACTTATTTAAACACGTTATTTCTGTTGAATTGTTTTCTATGTTGACTTATACACATTATTTCTGTTGAAATGTTTTCTTTGTTGACTTATTTAGACTCATGATTTCTGTTGAAGTGTTTTCTTTGTTGACTTTGACACATTATTTATGTTGAAGTATTTCTTTGTTGACTTTGACACATTATTTCTGTTGAAGTATTTCTTTGTTGACTTTGACACATTATTTCTGTTGATATGGTTTCTTTGTTGCCATAGACATATTATTTCTGTTGAAGTGTTTTCTTTGTTGACTTTGACACATTATTTCTGTTAAATTGTTTCTATGTTGATTTAGGCACATTATTTCTGTTAAAATGTTTTGTATGTTATTTCTGTCGATATGGTTTCTTTGTTGCCATAGACATAGTATTTCTGTTGAAGTGTTTTCTGTTAAATTGTTTCTATGTTGACTTCGACACATTATTTCTGTTGATATGGTTTCTTTGTCGACTTGGACATCCTGTTTTTGTTTAAGTACCATCTTTGTTGCTTTGGACATTTGTACATTAGCGTCAAATGATGAATCGTAAGGCATTCATTAGTATCGGAATATTACTATGATTTTAAAGTAAGTTTTCATGACATAATTATTTTACAATAATTAACTCATTTCAGGCTAAACTACTCGCCAAGGGTTAATCACGCAACTTAGTATTACAATGAGGGCCAAGTGAAAGCGATAGTGTATGTTGCACAAAATGAATGTTTTGTACGCAGGGATGGATACATTATATTTACCTATATAATATATGTGTTTGACTTTGTAACGTATGAAGTGTTTGAAATTTATCTAATGCTAAAGTACAGACTTGTGTACGCTTTTATTATATAAATATGTAAAACATACGTTGTGTGTTAGTTTTGTTTCCAAGTGTTCACACACACACATACACATTAACTTCTCAAAGAAAAGGATCGTTGGTTATTCTACATCTTGAATCACGCAAAGTGAAACCTTTTTTTTTTCAAAATTTCAATAAAAGTCATCACTACAAAAGTTTATACTTATGTACGCAACCGAAATTGTAAGTAATTCCACTCAACTCTTATGTTGACTTCTTGGTGATATTTTTTTTCAATGTTTGCGTTTTCTATTTTCACTGTTTTAAAGAAAATACAAAGTTGGACGAATGAAGTAAAACTAGGATCAGATACCAGTATGTGTTTGAACTAAATCTAGTTCAAACACAATACTGGTATCTGAACCTAGTTCAAACACAATACTGGTATCTGGGTTCAGATACCAGTATTGTGTTTGAACTAGGTTCAGATACCAGTATGTGTTTGAACTAGATTCAGATACCAGTATTGTGTTTGAACTAGGTTCAGATACCAGTATTTCATGTTATTTTATGGTACTATATATGACGTAAAAAGGTAGAAGTGCCGAAAGAAGATTCGGGAAAATCGAAAATATAACAGCACATATTTAGCTGTCTTCGAAAAATAGTCATGAAAAATTGAAATATTTTTTCTCTATTGGAATGCAGTGTACACAGATCTCGGATGTTCTGATGCAACAAGACTTGTATGTTTGAGTCGATGTAGTCTGATGCAGGTACGCAAAAAATAACCAAAGTTGTCGACAATTTATAACCGTAAATAATCAACGTATTATTCGAAGCCACTTGAAAAAGTAATTATACACAAATGCTTGTTATAGCTACGAGGCTTAATAAGTTGTTTTATGAGGAAATATAATATTTCCGAGTTTCAGTCAAATAAGATTATAATACCACTCGACTATAGCCGTGAATAAAATATTGGGTCGTCAAGAAATTAATGTCTTTTTTTTAGATGAAAAAAACCGAACAACTTATTTAACAAAACAAAACATTTATTAAATGAAATAGTCTTCATTCTTATCGATGATGCTTTTTCATCTTACAATCACGTTGTTAATGCCACGATTAAAGAAATCACTTGGCTTTGAAGCAAAAAACATGTCGATGTCCTCTTTAACACCTTCCACATTTGCATACGTTTTCCCATTAAGATGGTGTTGCAGCGAACGAAAAAGATGGTAATCTGATGGTGGGTGAGGAAGAAGTTCCCAACACAATTCCATAGTCTTGTGTTGCGTCAAACGTGCCACATGTGGACGTGCATTGTCGTGGAGAAGAAGAACACCT